TTTGCAAACTTTTATAACAGAAACAAAGAAAAACGTGGATTTTTTTCCCAAATTTTCTGTCTTTTTTTGTTAATTTAGCAAAAAATAAAAACCCCAGTGGTGAATAAATACCACCAAAAGAAAGCTCTAGTTGTGTGAACAAAATGATAACATTTTAATTTGGGCACAGTTTTGCATGACTGGCTAATTATCATTCAAAGTGTGAGAGCGCTGAAACCTGAAAATTTGGCTTGGGCAGGAAGGGGGTAAAAGTGCCTGATATGGAAGTAGTTAAGAAGGATCATGCTTAAATTCAAAATCAGTAAGTCAACTGTGACCAGAACGAAAATATATTTGAAGTGAGGCCCACGTTGCATATTTGTAGGCTCAGTAAGATTCTTTATATCTATGAATATAGAAATAATGTATGCAATGGAGAGCGTTATCTTATGAGAACAATAGTATTTTGGGGTCAATGTTTTACAGTTGTATTTTTAAAAAGTTTATTTTTTTTTCTTTTTTGTATGCAGTATCCACAATCTATGTTTTACAAATATACATGTACTCCGTGAAAAAGAATTCTTAAACAGATTAAAAAAACAAACACAGGAGATGCTGTCTGCTTTGAGGCACACTTGTCTGACAGACTTCAGAGCTGCTTGATAAAGGATGAGTCACTGTCAATTAAGTTTTGAAAATTCAGCTTGAGCTATTGAGGTCTGTAAAAAAATCACAAGCTGGGAGCCTGTAAAAATGTGAGCCCAAAACGTTACCTGCTGGCTTAAAAACAAATATTATAAATATTAATATACAATACTTATATCATGCCCTAGAAAAAATAGGATCAAATCCTTTTTTAGCCAAGGAGTTTATTTTAATATTTTAGTGAATGTCCTGTATTTTGGCTTGAAAAGACTCTCTCATTGGTAAAACTGATGCAGGTGCGTATGCACACTTGCACATACCTGCAGCTGTCTCCCAATTCTCCTGTCACTGTCAAGGGCTTGTTTGCACTGCCAGCATGCTAATTACTTTGTTTTAGTGTATGGGCAGCTGTTAGTTTTTCCTTGCAGTGCTCAGAGGTGAGGGCGTGGCATTATGTGCAACCTCTTTGCGCGGTTTACCTTTTCTTCTTTTTTTTTAAACTGTTTTTAACAATTAATGCTTCATTCATGTCTCCTCACAGCAATGTGGTGTGCTGTGCTGCAGTGTGGTGATGTGGTGCCATTCAGTACACAAATGACACCAGTGTTGTTGCGTGAATGGGGTTTATAGAAAACTATTGTTTTCTATGTGCCCTTGCAGTGACTGGTGTTTATTCAGTAGAGAAAATTGCCAGTCACCACACATAGTGTGAACAAGCCCTTAATGCTGAGCCATTCTGAATATTCTTAAATAGCGCTGAAGCTTGTCTGCCCCTTCATGTCTCTTGCTTATTCCTATTGACCAGTTAGGCTGCTCATCAAAGTATATGTGCCAATAGGAATCTATGTGCGACTTAGGGTTGCCAACTTTTTTTTACTGAAAACCTGAAATATGACACACATACATTTCAGGGTAGGGATAGAGGATGGGGGGAAAGAGGAAAGGGGAGGTAGAGAGGGAGAGAGAAGGGGGGGGGGTGGAGAAGCAGCAGGGAGAGGGAGGTAGAGACAGAGGGAAGGGGAGGAGTGGGGGGATAGTGAGGGATAGCGAGTGGGAGGGAGGATAGAGAGAGGGAGAGAGGAGAGAGCTAGAGAGAGGGAGGGAGGATAGAGGGATAGAGAGAGGGAGAGAGAGATGGATGGAGATAGAGGGGAGGATAGCTAGAGGGGAAGAGATAGAGAGAGGGGAAGAGAGAGAGAGAGAGGAAGAAAGAGAGAGAGGGATGGAGATAGAGAGAGGGATGGAGATAGAGAGAGGGATGGAGATAGAGGGATAGAGAGAGAGAGAGAGAGATAAGAGAGAGAGGGATAGAGAGCGTGGGAGGGAGGAGAGAGACAGAGAGAGGGAGCTAGAGAGAGGGAGGGAGGATAGAGGGATAGAGAGAGGTAGAGAGGAGAGAAAGAGGGATAGAGCGAGGGAGGAAGGAGAGAGACTGAGAGATGGAGGGAGGATAGAGGGATGGAGAGATGAGAGAGAGAGGGATAGAGCGTGGGAGGGAGGAGAGAGACTGAGAGAGGGAGGGAGGATAGAGGGATAGAGTGAGGGAGGAGAGAGGAGAGAAAGAGGGATAGAGCAAGGGAGGGAGGATAGAGGAATAGAGAGAGGGAGAGTGGAGAGAGAGAGATGGATAGAGAGAGGGAGGAGAAAGAGAGAGATGGAGGGAGGAGAGAGAGAGAGGGAGGATAGAGGGATAGAGAAAGGGAGAGAGGAGAGAGAGAGGGATAGAGCGAGGTAGAGAGGAGAGAGATAGAGGGAGGGAGGATAGAGGTATAGAGAGAGTGAGAGAGAGAGAGAGAGAGGGGTAGAGCGAGGGAGGGAGGAAAGAGAGGGGGATAGAGAGAGGGAGGGAGCAGGGGGAGAGGGGAGGAGAGACAGAGGGAGGGGAAGGGAAAGAGAGAGAGGGAAGGGATGGGGGAGATAAGAAGGATAGGGAGGGAATGTAGTGAGAGAGAGGGATAGAGAGGAGAAGGGTGTGAGGAAAGAGAGACAGAGAAAGGGAAGAAAGGAGGAGAAAGAGATAGAGGGATAGAGAGAGGGAGGGAGGAGAGAGAGAGAGAGAGAGAGAGAGAGAGAGATGGAGGGGGAGAGGGGGGGGGTGGGGAAGGAAGGAGGAGTGGAAGAGAAGGAGGAGGGGGAGGAGAAAGAGGAGAGGATAGGGAAAGAAGTCGGGAGAGAAAAATCGGGAGAGAGAGAGAGTGTGAGAGGAAGGGGGAAGAGGAGGTGGAGAGGGGGAGGGGGTGTGAGAGAAGGCAGAGGGAGAGAAGGATGAGAAAGGGGGGACAGAGAGAGTGACATGGCAGGTAGATACACAAGTCCAGATACATCTGAAGGGGTCTCCCCATTAAGATGGTGGAAGGAGGTAGCAGGGCCACTGGTGGCTTATGGCTATGTGAAAGCCATTATATTACAAGCCAAAAAGCAAGGGGTGCTGTAACAGAGCAGTAGGTGGACTTTTAAGAACCCACCACCACCCAGGGATCCAAAACATTGATGCCTGTGATGTCACATGTCAGAGCCAGCTGAACCTGAATTGCGGTGTTTATTTACTGGCATTGCCCTGTCTATGGACTTTTATGGACAGTAACAAAGCACCCCTTTTTTTTTACAAACCATCTTTAAATAATGGATAGTTCACAACTGTGGTGTGTGTGTATGTATAGAGTGGTTGAGCTTAGTAGAGAACTCCACACAGACCAGAATGTTGTACACATCATTATTATACTTTTATCTGATTTTCTGAATAAACCTGATTGTTTCGTGGCCTCCCCAGTGGTCTGATTATGTCCATATTTCTGGTGCTCAAAACGGTATATTTTTTTGCATGAAAATATGTATTTTTTTATTGTAGGCGTGTAATTTTTAGGAATAACTCACTGAAATCTGTCTGAACAAGAGTCTAGTAAACATCCCGGGTATTTTAAAATTTGAAACATGAAATCATAAATTATAATTTAATAAATAATCATAAAAAATAATAATATAATAATAATACATTTAATTAAAATATATAATGAAACCAAAAACACAGAAATTTAAAATATAGCGCCAAGTTCGCACATCACTGAGCAAAGTCACAAAATTGTTTCCAGTGTCTGATGACGAATTTCCCCACGAATCATTATCACTCAATTCTGCAAGTCGTTCTGTTTTACTATCGCTGTTCTCTCTAGCTGGTCTAAAACCGCTTTTGACCTAAAGGGACGCTTTTTGGACACCATGGACATTTCTCAGTTTCCAGGCAGAAAGAACAGACAAAATGCAGGCAGGGCACAGGACAAAGCACTAGGGACAAAATGTATGTGAAATTCTTTAATACAGTAATGATTTACTATGTGATTTTAGTGAATTTAGTGAATGTCACAAATTCAGACCCTATATGCCGTGCAAAAAAACAAAAAAAACCTAATCCCAAATAGGGATGATACACACCAAATTGTGTCAGCAAAGTGAATCCCATACAATGGGATAATCTTAAAGTGACAAGTGCCAAATCACAATATACAAAGTGTATACACAATACACACAGTGAAAAATACAAAGCCAATAAATATGTGTAGTGAGTCAAACAAATATTTAAAATATACAGTGAAAAAAAACAATTATAGTGAAAAACTGATCATAACAAAGCAGCAAATGTCCTTTTGAATCCAATAATAGTGGTGTAGGAATCCTGCACACTAAAAAGATAGTGCTCCACTCTCAACAAGGAACTGGTGCCATGTGGTGTATACTCCAAAAGAAATCCTAAAATGGCTGAAATGCCTGCTCACCTTCAATAAGTGACCCTACAGGGCATCACGCTTTTGGATCACACCCGGATCCTACAGTATAGATCTCCTTACTGACGGACCTCCATATACACAGGGTTCCAATTGTACCAAGTATGTAATCCCCTTCCTGGATCGATAGGCAGGTGACCTTACTAACTCCAGCCTACTCACAAAAACTCTGCCCAGCTCTCAGTTCAAACATGCCATTCCTTAGATGTGGTGCCTGCATTTGTTTTCTTCAAGGCTGTTTTTACTTTCACACCTGGTGATCAGGCCAGTAATACACTTCCTGTTTTAGGGTGGCTCCACTTGACAGATGAACAATGGAGACAACATTGTACAGCAGAAATATCAAACCTGGTACGGTCAGTATTGCTGGCTGGTTGATGCTTTGCCCGCACACAGAGGACATTGCAGGGGACACTGCAGGAGGGACATCGCAGGGAGCGCAGGACAAGGTAAGTGAAGAAGAGATCCCGGAGAAGCACTGCAGGGTATTCCTGAGTGTATCTCTGGGTTACCGCTTGTGGTGCTGAATCTTTACCTCTAGCTACACTAGGGAATACCTCCAGTAAGGTTAAAGAGTTACTAAAGCCAGGACCCTGCATTTACTATATATCTGGTCTCCCACAGTACACAGAACATAGAAGTGCAATTATCTTAGTAAATAAAAAAACTGCTAAATACCTTTTCTTCATCAGCAGTTAGAACAGTCTTGTGACTTCTATCAGGGTTCAGCAGAGCTCTGGTTAAAAGCTTGTAGAAGGAGTTTTCTTTCTGGCCTAGGAGGTTGCAGAAGCCCCAACCTCTGTCTGGAGAGTGCTGATTGGCCCTGTTCTGATCACATGCACTCTCCCAAGAAAACAAAAAACACCTCTCTAGCAATACCTACCAAACTGAGCATGGTGCAGAGTGACTCCACACAGTATGTCTTATCAGGAGATAAGTGGGGGACACTGGAGAAGGGGAGGATCAGAGAAGTCAGGATCAAAACAGCCTTTTTACACACTGCAGAGGATTAACCCCTTAGGATCTACAGTGAGTATATCAAGCATGCTTTACTGCATATACAGACTGATTTTACTGTTGTGGGTTTAGCAACACTTTAACTTAAACAGGAAATGCTACATATGGAATATCTCCAGTTACTTAGATAACTTAATAACTTACTTAAGTACCATTCACACTATGATATGCTCATATGTCTGTTTTTTGTGCATTTTTGTGATACAAGTATAGGGCAGCTTATTCATTTCAAGTACATTAATCCACCACCGTTGCTCATGTATGTTTTGAACTTTGAGCTTTGAGTTTTTAGCAATACTTCTTTTAGCAGCACAATTGTTTCCACAGGAAAAACTGATTGTCTGCTTACCTCTTTTGGGGTGCCACTAACAATGATTGGCACTGTAAGAGGGGACACACATTTTGATGCGCACAAAAATGTGCGCAAAATTATTCAATTTTGCATTCATTCACAAAAATGCTATAGTTTAAAGGCAGCCTAATTAATGCTTTATTGAATAAAAGAATATAATGTGATTGTAAACTATAAATACAAGGAGAAATATTTTCACTGAGAGTTAAGGATGAAAGAAATACAAGGACAGGAAACAAGAGTGAGCTAATAGCATAGGAAAGAAGAGGCAATAAGACAGCATGCTGCTTCTAACCTCTCATAAATAACTTGCATGCAGTGTCCTTCTCAGTGGGATCAATTTGGTTAGTTATGCCACATATATAAAACGGCATACATTGTTGTTAGAGAGCTCGTTATTTACTGGAAGAGGTCATTTTACATCCAGTCTGTGGGATGTAACTTTATAATGATAAGTTATTATTCCTATCACAGACATTTAATGATGTATATGCTAGCACACAGTCAACTGAATCCCTCCAGGAATATCAAGCTGTCTTTACATACTGGTGATTCAAGTAAGTAGAGTAAATAATGCTAAAATGCAATAAAATGTTATCCATAGTTTAATGTTTTTTTCTATTTAATTGTAAAAAATATTTTTTCCAATGATATATCAAAGGTCACCACTCATAAAACTGACATATGGGCAGCACAGTGGCTAAATGGTTAACACATCTGCCTAGCAACTCCAGGGTTGTTGGTTCAAATCCCAACCACAGCGCTACTCGCCTGGAATTTACGTATATCTTCTCCCTACGCCTGTGTGGGTTTCTTCCCACACCCCAAAGATATGCTGGTAGGTTAATTGGCTCCTGTCTAAAATGGCCCCTGTATGAAGGCGAGTTAGGGACCTTAGATTATAACTCTTGGAGGGCTAGGGACTGATGTGAATGCACATTGACAGTGCTACATAAGTACCTGTAATAAATATATATGTCATCTTTACATGGTTGCTGGTAAGGTGAATCCCAGGCTGGCCTTTTATGTCCGGAATTCTGCTGGTGAAATATCCCCACCATGATTCTCAGTTTCTATGAATTTCGACAAAGTCAAATGATAATGTCACATGCTCCTGAATGTATTCTCCAATATGTGGAATAAACAAATTGAGATAGACTTGTGGGGCATGGTGGAGACAGAAAATGCTCTGTGAAATCATGGCATTGAAGTCCCAAGTTTATATAGCCAGCAGTCAATATTTTAAAGGTAAAGCTGAACTCCATGTATGGTTTTATAGCCTAATGGCAGTGGTCCCATTACATTGACTAGGACCAATGTAAGTATAGATAATCTGTACCTGTGAGACCTTTGTGGAAGCAGAGAAATCACTGTACTATTTTGTACTTGAAGAAATATACCAGGGAATGAAATAGTTTTGTTCTAAGAAATATTTTGTTAATGTATAGATTAATTATATAAAATATTTATATTAATCACAGTTATATAGTTACATAGTTAATCTGGTTGAAAAAAATACACGTCCATCCAGTTGAACCAACAGAGGACAAAAAAAAAAAAAGACACACAAATAGAAAACCACGCACTATCCTATACCCATAGTTGATCCAGAGGAAAGCACAAAAAACCCCACTAAAACATGATCCAATTTGCTCCAGCAGGGGAAAAAAAATCCTCCTTGAACCCCCAAGAGGCAATCAGATATTCCCTGGATCATTTTAACCTATAAATATTAGTATCCAGTTATATGAGTATCTAGGAAAGAATACAGGCCTTTTTAAAAACAATTTACTGAGCTGGCCAGAACCAGCTCTTGAGTGAATGTATTTCACATTTTCACAGTTCTTACTGTAAAGAAGCCTTTCTGTAGTTAGATTGTAAGCTCCAAGGAGCAGGCTCCTAACCCTCTTGTATTGAACTGCATTGTTGCTGTATTGTTTCCCGTTTATATTGTTAAGCACTGAGCAAACTGTTGGCACTACATCAAGGGCGGACTGACAACTCATTGGGCCCCCGGACAATAGGGGATCATGGGGCCCCTGTGTCCTTGCCGAAACTCAAAATAGCCTATGAAAAAGGTACCAGGGGCATCTCATGGGGCCCCCTACTGACCCTGGGCCCTCGGGCGGTGCCCGAGTTTCCAAATGGTCAGTCCGCCCCTGCGCTACATTAATCCTGAATAATAATAATAATATTTGGAGATGACATCTTTTGTCCTCCAGATGTAGTGCCCTCTTGTCCTCTGTGATGACCCAAAGGGAATAGCTCAACACCAAGTTCTCTATATGGACCACTAATGTATGTATACTGTACATGTTGATCATATCCCTCCTTAATCTCCTCTTCTCAAGAGAGAATAATTCAGTTCAGCTAATCTTTCCTCATGTCTCTTATCAGTTTGGTTGCCCTTCTCTGCACTTTCTCCATTTCTCCGATATCCTTTTTGTGAACTGGTGCCCAAAACTGAACTGCATATTCCAGATGAGATCTTATTAATGATTTGTACAGGGGTAAAATGATATCTGTCTCTCTGGAGTCTATACCTTTTTTAATACAAGAGAGGATTTTATTCGCTTTGGAAATGCCATGCATGCCATTATTAAACTTAGTATCTACTATGTAAACCCCCAGATCCTTCTCCACCATTGACTTTCACAGTTGTACTCTCCCTAGTATGCATGGTGCATGCATATTTTTAACCCCCAAGTGCATAACACTACACTTATTATCATGGAAATCCTAAAAGCATTATCAGCTGCGATCTGGAATTAAGACACATTGTCAATAGGAAAAATATTTATTTTAATATACAGTATTTCATCTAACACAAATTTGAAGAAGGGAGCAGTGTACTGAAACCTAATAGAAGCATGTTGCAATGGCAATATTTCAGACATCACTGAATCTGATTGAGCATTCACACAGAAATCTTGTCTTGGCACTCAGCTTGAACAGTTTTAGCAGATTAACTGATATTGCTTCTGCCTAACAAAAGCAGGAAGGGATCTATAATAACATTTGTTAAAATTTTAAAATGTGAATAGTTGACCTGGGAGTTTGGTTCTTTTTCTTTACACTTTCTTTACTTTATTGTTTGTTTGAATCTGAAGTCTTAAATGCTGGTTAGTTTGCTGTAGTTCTTCTTTCTCTTTACGTAGCTTCTCTTTGTCAGCTCTTTCTTGTTTGAAATCTTCTTCATATATCTTGAGCTGGAAAAAAGTGAAATATGCCATCAGTATACTTCTCAACTTTATAAAGCTAAAAATTGGGACATGCTAAGCCCTTTCTGAATCTGACCCCCCACCTACATTTGACCATAATTGGTTGTCCTGCACTTTTTTTGCAGGCTCCACCCTATTCTGACCCTAATTTTAGGTAGAGCTGCATTATTCACAAGGCTCTCTAGGCAGGAGCTTTGAACCTGACAAATGTGTAGGGAGCCCAGGTACAACTTGTATTCTCCTAAGGGAGGACCAGCAGGTCATCTGTGCAAATTATACACCCATAGGCACATGGTGTCTGATGCAATTGATGCATGCAGATTCTTTGTGCCGTATGCAATGCCTTTTAATATCAGTTGAGGTGATGGGGGGGGGGGGGGGGGGGGGAGCGAAGCTTTTGCCTTGCCTATGGCCTCATTCTTTCTTAATTTATCTTTGAATTCCCATACAATCACCACATTTGGTATGCCATAGGGTTGATTTGCTAAAAGCAAATAGACTGTTCACTTTGCAAGGGAATTTGCCGGAGAACTTAGTGAATGAGGTGAAGCTGTCCTTCATCATCTAATCACGTGCAAGCAAAAATCTTTTTTGTTTAATTTCTTTGAACTTAATTGGGTATTCTTTGCAAAGTGAAAATTTGCCACATTCACTAAGCTCTGCACAAAATGCCATAACAAAGCACAACTCGCCTTGCAAAGTGAACAGCCAGTTTGCCTTTAGTAAATCAACCATTATGTGTCTAAAGTATTTATCCTTGTGCAGCACACATATTCTGTAGAAAACAATTAATTGAAAAGAATTGAGATCTAGCACAGATCTTACCAATTTATTTTTTGAAGGTATGTTTGGAAGAGTGGTTGGATCACAAGGATATTTCATATCCCATAAGTCCACTAAGGTGTGTTTTTTAAATGTTTTCACACAAGATTCACATTAAATTCACACATTTTCTAATTGGATTTATATATATAAAAAAGTGTGAATCTTAGGTCAAAGTTGTATGAATTGCGTGAAAATAGACCATTAAATACCATAATTGTTTTCTTTACTGTATCCCTGCCTCTTCTATCTTAGTAGCTTATGCACAGCACAGTATACAGTATCCAGTATGTTCATCTGTTATATCAAATATTGAAGACATAACAAAGAAAATGTTTACATGTAGAAGAATGTAAAAGAGGTAAAGTGTTACTAAACCCACAACAGTAAAATCAGCCTGTATATGCAGTAAAGCGTGCTTGTTATACTTGTTATACTCACTGTGGAACTCTCTGTGGAACCTAAGGGGTTAATCCTCTGCATTGTGTAAAAAGGCCATTTGATCCTAATTCCTCTGTTCCTCCCCTTTTTTTAAGCAACCACCTCTTATCTCCTGATAGGACAGATTGAACCATAGGCATTTTGTACATGATCAGTGTGGTGTGTATTGCTCCAGAGGGTTTTTTTTTTTCTTGGGAGAGTGAGCAGTGGTGATTGGCCCTGTGCTGATCACATGC